ATAACCAACACCTTGAATTGCATCCGGGACCAATAGGTAGCCAGTGCAGCTCGCGGAGGATCGGTGTAACGTGGGTGTACCTAGGTACACCCAATATCGCTCGCGGTTCTTTAAGAGAGACATGAAGTATCATCCCATTTGAACAGCTGCTGATGCAGCTAGAAAAGAGCATGATGGATTGACTGACCCATCAATACATTTGATGTCTCTTGTCCACGGTGGTAGACAGGTTCTTGTCAACAGAACCGTCTTGAAATGGTCAAAGCAGAAAGATTTAGAGAGGTGATGTTGGAGCGGGGAGGACTCAAGAGAAAATTAAAGAGTTCTCCTTGATGGACATTACAATTACGTATGAATCATGAGCTAGGCTGAACAATAGACCTCGTAGAAATATGAGTTGATAATTAGTAGTTGCCATAATGATCCCGTGCTTGCAGTACTCCAAACCATCGTATGCGGTACACATCATAATAGCGAAGTTAGTCCATCACAGTTAAGGGAGAAACTATGATGGCGCATCTTGGCTAACAACCTTGGTTGCAAAATGATTGGTGGCTCATTGCACTGCTTTGACCTTCCATGTTGGCTCGGATCGGGCAGTTAATTCAATCCATTGTGGGTCTAGCAAATTCCCTAGTTGGCTTGCATGTGTGAATGGTGTCGGTGTTTCCAAAACCAGGTTACTTAGGGGTTACTTGGCGTATCGGGACAGAACCCCTCCTGATGGCCTCGGGTCTGGTGCACTCTTGGCCTAACCTGTCCAGCCCCCTCTTCCTCCTCCTCCTCCGTCTTCTTTCCTGGCAACTCACCCCAGCTGAGCAATAACTGTATCCCAGCAACCGTCATAGCAACCAGAAGAGACCCTCCTGCTACTCCAATGGGCAAACAGTTGCTAGGAGACCAACTTCAGTTTTTCCTGCTCCCGTTGCCTGCACTTGGGGGAATCAGCAAGCCCTACCTTGCGTGGATGAGATAATGGCCAACCAGAGAGAGAACCTGGCACCCATGCCCCCCGCAAGGTTTGAAGACCCCCTGCTGCCACCCCCCACCCACCCACTCCCTCCCCACCCCAGGAGAGATACCGAAAACAAAAATCTGGGGAGTGGAACCAAAGTGTTTATTTTCTCAGCGGGGAAGGAGATGACTTGGATCAGCAAATGTTTTTGCTTCTTCTTCTCTTTCTTCTCCTCTTCCTCCTTCTCCTCCTCTTCTTCATCTCCTCCTTCTCCTCCTCCCCCTCCTCCTCCTCTTCTTCTTTTTTTTTTTGAAAGAAGCAGAGTTCCAAAAAAGGACAAAAGCAACAGGCTTCTCTTTTGTGTCGTGTTTTTTTGTAAAGCTGACACCCACTGTCAAAGAGTGGGGATGATTCTGCCTGTTAGGTTTCTGGCACAAAAATAGGGGGGGGGACGATAACGACGACTCCCCCTGCCACCCCTCACCCCCCCCCCAAATCTCAGATTGACAAGGAATAGAAATAAAAAAACTTGCCTAACTGGCAACCCTTTTGGTTCTTTTATGTGTCTCTCCTGGTCAAATTTCAAAGCTTTGGGGAGGGGGGCAGCAAAATAATTTCATCCGGGGGGTTAAAATGTTTAGAGTGACTCTTGCAAAGAGGGTTTTAGCCCCGCGCTCTGTAATTCCCTTTCTGCGTCTCTCAACCTGCAAAATGTGTAATGCCAAGTCTCTTTCTCTCTCTCTCCCTGTGTGTGTGTGTGTGTGTTTGTCAAAGTCCCCCACCCCGCTCTTTTCACGGAACAAAGGCTCACGCAAAAGGTAACAATTTGCACTGCCAAGCAAAGCGACAGAGATTGTTAAAAAGAATAGCGGTGCATAGTAATTACTCCACTCCTCCTGCCATCCTAGGGACTCGGAAATTTTCCCTCCAAAGGGGGGAGAGAAAAGGAAGGGGAAGGAGAAGGATTGGGGGGGGTGGGGG